TGGGTTTTCTTAACATTCAGTGATTTTTATTATTACTGTTACCAAAGAGAACCTTCAGAATGAAACCATGTAAGAGAGTAGAGGAATTTGTAAACTGGTGAATAGCAATTCTAATTATGATTTTTAGTCCTGGCTTAGCCAATAGCTAGTTATACGATTGTAGCTCCCTCCAGTGCTTTTTAGAGAAAGGAAATTTATAAAATTATGCATGTAATTTTAAATGTGTTATTAACCTTTCTGGAAGGAGATGGGTTATCTAGGTAAGGTGTGAAGTCCCTTCCAGCTATAAATATTTTAATGCTAAAGCATCATATTATTCTAAAATTTAAGAATTGTAGATATTTGTTCCAGGTGGTCAGAAAGCAAAAGGTTAGGATACCAGAATATTAAATGCAAGATAAATGTCAAGTATCTTAGAAGATATGAACCGTAGTTTGAACTTTGGCTATTGGCATTTGCTTGAAAGCTATAGTACATCAAGAAATATGAAAAGGAATGTGACTGTGGGCTAGTGCCATCTCACATGCCTCTGCAGGCCTGTCCACTCTAATGGGCAGGGGCACTAGTTGAGGGCAGAAGGTGCCCAGGAGAGCAGCAGGACTCATAGGCACCTCCCGTGGCTAATGCCTCTCTGGGTCCTCTCCAAGGCCTTCTGCAGAGCAGCCTCAGCAGTCCTGATGCCAGTGGGCAGCACCCAGTCCTCCTTGTCTGTACCATCTCACTTTGGTCAATGCAGGAGAATCCCAAAGATCTTCACAGTAGTCTTTCTCTCAGCCTGCTAGGGAAATTCCTTTCTCTTATCTACTCTACCTGGCTTTCAGGGATGGCCAAATCAGGTAAAGAGAAAAAAGGAAAAATGAAAAAACTTAAGGAGGAAAGAAAAGGGAGTTGGGGGAGGGAGGTGGAGAAACAAGGAGAGGGAGTTAAGAAGTCAGCCCAAGGAGACGGGGATGGAGAAGGAGGCAACACATCTGCCCCTGACAGCTCTCCCAGCTTGACTGGTGCAGATGCAGAAGTGCAGTCAGACCCTTAGCTGGCTGTGCTGACCGACACCAGGTGCACGGTTACCGCTCAGGAAGCCAGAGTTAGATACGTTGAGTTAACTAGGCTACTTCTGGAAACAGCCTTTCTGCTACAGAGCTGTTTGCTGAGGAGACAGACTGCCTCCTCATACCCCTAACTTCTGCCCACCCCTTCCAAGTCGCCTGTGCTTGGACAGTAATGTCACTTTGGCCTTGCTTTAGCAATCCTACAACATCCTTCTTTAAAGTTTATTTTGAGAATACTTGTTAATCATTTCGTTTTTTGTATTGTTGAATTTAAACTTTAAAAAAATTATAAATGGAACTAATCTGATGTGTGCATTTAGAAACTTTGTGAGGTTTTGGAAATGTATTTCAGTGACTGCATGTCTCTGTACCTGGATCAGTCCATGTCTTCCTGAGGACATCCACGTTGCTTCAGCTCCATGGGAATGAGGCCTATGCAGATTGAGAAACCACACGGTCCTGACCCACAAGGAACTTAACTTTTGCTTAGCCAAACAAAACCAAACCATGTAATGATGAAATAGAAAAATTAACATTAAATTATGTGATTGACTTCTCTTGACTGAAGATGGTGAATCACTTCTCCTTCTTTTTATTATCCTTTTTTTTTTTTTCAGACAGAGTCTCACTCTGTTGTGTAGGCTAGAATACAGTGAGATCAGCATAGCTCACTGCAACCTCAAATTCCTAGCCTCAAAAGATCCTCCTGCCTTAGCCTCCCAAGTAGCTGGAATTATAGACACACATCCCCACACCCAGCTATTTTTTTCTGTTTTTAGTAGAGACAGGATCTTGCTTTTGCTCAGGCTGGTCTTGAACTCGTGGGCTCGAGTTTTGGAAAGCCAGCATTTTTCGCAAGTACTTAGAAAGCATTAGGACAGTAACTAATTGCATTTTATTTTTTAATGTTTAAAGGCAGAGAGACTTTTTTGTTCAGACTGTTCATGTAAGCTGGGTGTTTTTTCTTTTTCATTCACTAAGCTTCAGTTCACTTTACCTAATTTGTTAATTTTTGTTCCTACATCTGTTTCTTCTAGAATGAATAGTTTAAATCCAAATTTCTGTTTCCTCATAAATCTGACATTCATCCTCAATATTTCACTGAAACTGCTTCTACTCAGATCACAACCTCTGCCTTGCTGAATTCAGTGGTTACATTTCAATTATCATAAACAATCTTTCTGTTTTATTTGATACAGTTGACCACTCATTCTTATCTTTTTGAAACTCTTCTCCCCAGAGGCTTTCTTCTTTCATTTTTTTTCCTGCCTTATGATTGTTTCTTCCCAATCATTTTTCTAGATTCTTCCTCTGACTATTTAAAAAATATTGATATTCTCTAGTGTTTGTTTCCCAGCCTGGTGCAACCCCAAAGTATATCCCTTAGCTCAGGCTTCTTTCCTTACTGTCTGGTCTATATTCAGCCACTTACTAGACATTTTTACAGAGTTATGGGTGCACCCCGATATCCAATCGTTCACCTAACCATATCTATTGTATTACCCTAGCAGTTCTCTAGACCATCCTTCCTCCATCTCCTCATTGTTACTGCCAGTACCACCTTATAGTTGTGCCACTAGGTCCTTGTAAGCCTGGACTCCATGGCTGGGTGTCCTGTCCTGGCTTTCCTTCAGTCTTGCCATTCTCTATGGGTGAAAAGTTCTAAGGCCAAGGGGATGTATGCATCCTACCCTCCACCCCTTATTCTGTGCATTGGCTACACAAGACTCCAGAAACAGGCCTGGCAACAAGCCTGTTTCCCAGATCTGCTCTTCCAAGGGGAGACTGCATGCCTGGTCTGTACTTCCTAGGCTTAAGGAGTGGCTAAGAGGCAGTTGTTTGGAAGGGGATAGATGGAGTTTCACCTTCAGCTCCACACTCATACATGTGAAGCCCCTGATGTTATAGGCCAGGGCCAGAGGTCAGGAGAGAAGGAGGACATGCTGGGGCTTATGTTTGTGCTCTTGTCACAGGTCCACCAGCATTAGGGCCAGGTCTAACTATTACTTTCTTTTTCTTTATAGGTATATTCCTCCTATAATGCTGATAGGCAACAACCTATTTTTAAGGGCAAGAGCTTTAGCATTTAATTTTACATTCTTATAAGCCTATCACATGCCTTACCAATACACAGTGAATACTCAATACATCTTTGCTGAATTAAATAATGAATGCACCTTGAATATTTTATAATTATTTCATTTCCTTTATTATCATTTTAAAGAGTTTATAGTAATGTTTGTATGATTTTATTATATTGTAGGGTCAGAATTTTTCCAGAAAAACCTATCTCTGATTTTGTATTACCATTAAATAAAAAAACTAGACTTTATACATAAAGCAGAATTTTATTTTTAAATATGTTTTTACAAATTAATTTCATAAAGTAAGGTAAGTTAATAGTAAGTGGTAGGAAATAGTGTCAGGCAAATGTGAAAATTATGATATTATAGGTTCATGTGATATCCTAGTCACCAGGATAACAGTGCTTATGACCAGTTGTAACATATTAGTAACTGGCCAGCCCTGAGGGACTCTGGGATATAAAGTGAGAAGGAGGGGGAGTAAGTTCTGAAAAACTAAAAGATGCTAGCAAGAGTGAGACTGGGTTTTCCTGTAAGGTTTCTCATGAATTCAGAGGCTAACTCTAAGATCCTATAGATTTGCCTACTGAGCTCATTTGTAAATAATGTGTATGTAATGGCTTTTAATTCAAAAGACATGTGTTTATAATTAGAGTAATTTTTAAACACCACATCAGCTTGTTTTAATTCCTAAAATGATTTTTAACTATGATAATTAATGTGCCCAGTGTTGGCCTCCCCAAGTTCAGTGACCTTTAAACTGAGAACCCATCTGAAATGTCCCTACTGGTATTCCTTTTTTGGATACTATTTTAACACATGTATACCATGTTGTAGTAAGACATATTCTGATCTAAGAACTGAGTAAACTGAACTCAGAGAACCCTAACATTATCTCAAACTCACACCTCCTGTGACTCTTCTGTGTGCTGCTTGAATGATACTCTGTCTGCGATTCCACTGAACGATAACAAAGAGTTCAGCCATGGAAATAATTTGAGTTTTGTATACACATATCTTAACTCTAAGGAGTCATTGTTTCTTGTTTTTTTTTTAATTATTTCTTCCACGTTCACCTTCTACCCTTATATTTTCAGGCATAATTACTTATTCTAACCCTTCTCCTTTTAGTTGACATGAGTCTTTCAAACACCTCATCAAAGGTATTAAATATCAAAGCATTACCTTTATGAGAGGTCACACACTGTCTCATTGTTGTACCATCATGAGTCATGAGTAAAACCACTTAATGACATTGCTGCAAGAACATTTCTATGATGAAATTGCCGTGGGACAGCTTGGGCTGCACTGGCTTCTGGAGGAAGTATTTGGTTTCATAAACAGTTTAAATTGTTTCTGTCATCCAGAAAATAGTTCTCCAAAAAGAAAAGAAAAGGAAGGAGAAGAAAAAAGTTCTCCTTACACAAGGAGATTTTAAAATGTCTTCAGTTTTTAAATTTTAGTAATATTAATGATACATGGAGTTATGTCGCCTTCAAAGAAATTTTCTAACTTTTATGAAGGCAGATCTGGGCAGCCCTAATTCCGCATTTCACCTCCCACTCACTTCTGCTTGTACATCAGGGCCCTTCCTCTCCCCATATACTTGTTTATCATATCTTTCTGCCTTCAGAATGCTTTTTTTCTAAGTGGCTTAAAATGGCAATTGTTTAAAAAAAAAAAAAGGATTTAAGACTCACATGATGCTTAAAAAGCCAAACAAACAGGAAGAAAAAAAGAGTAGTATTATGAAAATATCACATGTACTATCCCTTCCCTTTCTTCTACATCCAAGGCAAGAGAGGTTGATGTGCCTCCATTTCTCTTCTATACTTCTTTGGACTTCTGGCTTCTTTTCCCTTTCAAGGCTGTTGTTAAATGTGTATGCTGGGATGGGAGCACTTGGAGTAAAGCATTTGGTCAGCAAGGAACAGGAGTCCTTGATAGAATATCAAGAAAAGGTGAGCAAGAAAACATGTGGAATGGAAGCAAGACGCTACTCTTCACTCATCCTTACAATTAAAGTCAAAATCAAAGTATGAGAACGAGAAAGGGACCTAGGGATCCTATCATTACAGTACCTCTACCAAACAGATGCTCAATAAATGCGGCTTGAACTTAAACCAATATCTTCATTTAACAGAAGAAATAGAGTCCCACACAGTTATACATTGCCCAGGACTAGCTCTGAGTTTGGCCAGAACCAAGGTCCTCCAATTCCTCCACCAATTTTTCTTCCCTTAAAAGATACCATAATAACTTTTTTATTTTAATTTCTAACACCTAGTAAAGAGTAAGTATGAAATGTTGAGCTCAATTAATAAGTGGCAGTCTAATGGAAAGAATATGGATTTTGGAATCAGACCTACATATAAATCTCAGCTTTGTCTGTGACCACTGAGGCAAGATTCTTTGTTTTTGGAAACAGTCTCCCTCTGTCACCCTAGGGAGAGTGCCAGGGCGTCATAGCTCACTGCAACCTCAAACTCTTGGGCTCTGCAGTTCTCTTGCCTCAATTTTCTATTTTTTAGTAGAGATGGAGTCTCACTCTTGCTCAGGCTGGTCTCAAACTTCCAAGTTCAAACAATTTACACTGCCTTGGCCTCCCAGGCTAGCATTACAGGTCTGAGCCACTGTGCCCAGGCTTGGGCAAGATTCTTAGTCTTTCAAAACCTGAGCTTTCATATCTCAATAATTGGGGATAATAATAGTGGCCACATACTGTTGTTGTAACAATTAAACAAGGTTATAAGAAGTACT